CTCCTGTAGCGGCTCCTGAGGCTCGCGAACTCGTTACCCGCCAGTCGCAGGATATCACGACCATCCTCACCAACCTGAACAACGACCTCAAGGATCCCCTTTCCGCCCTTAGTAAGCGTTTTACTGCTTGAAGCCGTGACACCTATGCTGACAAGTGCTCAGGTGGTCTGACGTCGAGCACGGCTACCAGCGACAATGTCAACAGCATCGTGCAGCAGATAATCCCAATGATCCAGTCTGCCACCGATGCTCTCGGCAGCGCGTCAGGCACTGGGAGCGGCAACCCTCTCCAGCTCGTCGGCACCACTATCACCGTGAGTATTATCTGTTTCTTGGGTTATACGCTCTACGGGAACTGACAATCACGTCTCATAGAATGTCATGTCGGCTGCTAACAGCGCTAACAGTGTCTCTTCGGACGTCGCTGTAATTGGTGTTCTCCAGCTCCTCGAGTACGTCTGCTCCTGCAATGGGCAAAAATAGTGTACTGACAGAGATCTCAGCCCGATCCTGGCTGCTCTCGTTGCCCTCGTGCTCCAGCTCGTCGCCGGTGTTCTCACTGTCGTCGTCGGCCTTCTTGTCGGCCTCCTCGGCGGCGTTGTCGGCCTCATCCTCGGCCTGGACTTTGCGTCGCTCGCGTCGGTGCTCCTGCTCTGAGCACTCTGAACATCACGGTCGTCACATGAACACTTTTCTCCTCTCTATGTTGTCCTCTCTCGCTGGTCCTGAGTTTTCTCGAACGAACAGTCTCTTGTATGAATGACTCAATCTCCATTTGTTTTGCCCTTGCTCTTACCTCTTTGAATGATTATCATCTATTGCTTTCATCATGAATGCGTTTCTTATTGGAGCAAAAAGTGTCCAGATGTCAAAGAAATACGGTTCGAAGAGAAAGAAGCGTAAAGGGGCATGTAGTCCTCGTACGATAAACGTCCTTGCGTATGTAGAAACGGGAGTTCGAAAGAAGCGAAAAGACAAAGGCTCCATCCACCCTACTTGAACAAGTCTTCGGGCGATCTGTAAGCCTCGTACGAACAGAAGTAAGTGTCCAGGAGAGCTCACAATACTGGGTGGTGTACTTCACATCCACATCCGCCGACTTGCCAGGTGTGCACTGACAGTAAACATCAATCACAGACTCGGAGTGAGAGCCCACAATCTACTCACGGAACTGGGGGGTAAACCACGTTTGGTATCAACGCGGTAGACGGTGCTGGCGAGGTCACCGCTTGTACTGTTGCCAATCGACGTTCCCCAAGCCGCTAGGCGCAGCAATGTCTCCAACCCTCGTCGAGACAGCATATGCCTTCGAGTTGCCCGCGATCCGGTTCGACGTGAAGTCAAACTTGGGAATATTCGCGCGGCCAGGGGACGGGTTGGGGATGAAGGGAAGTTGCCCGAGCACGGAAGGCTGCTTCCCGGTGTCCTTGATCAAGTACTGAACTGTCTGCAACGAGGTGGCCCACTTCTTGTACTCCTCGTCGGTCTGCTTGGACTTGTCCGCGACACAAGAGATGTCGTAGAGCTCGGCAACTTCCCCGGTGTTGCTGACAAACGAAGCGTCAGAACCATGCAACGATTAATAGGACAGAATGCGTACGTGTACGTGCCAGTGGACGAGCAGGCATAGTTCTGTACGTCGACGCCAAGCGCTACGAAACTCGGTGGGGAGGAGGGAGCTGTAAGTTCCGTCTGACGCGCAGGCAGAAGATCTTTCAGAGCCGACGCAGGAACACTACAACCAGTGGGGAGGTCATCCAAGTCAGGGGTGTTGCGCGGCGAGGCAGTGGCGAGGGCTAGTCTCCCGTAGGCAGACTCATGTCGCGCTGCTCCATAGGTGATGGCGGTCCTCGGCAAGCCGGACGCGTCGCGCACCAGTACTCTTGTCCGTGTCCACCACGATTAGCATGACCATTCCAATACCACATCCTTATTCACGTCTATCGATACACGAGAACGCCTATTAACTTCGCGACCCGCAAGATCACTCGCAAAGAGCTCAATACTTCGGGCCACACTCGGGCAAGAACAGGCGGTCCTGTCCGGTTCTCACAGGAGCCGGGCGCCCCCGAATCCCCCTGGCATGGAGTGGATGGGAGAATGACAGTTGCGCGTCGGCGAAGATATTCAAACGATGCCGTCAGAGGAATGGGAGTCGCGGACCGTAGAGCAGGGATGCTGAGAGGGAGGGCGAGTACAATGCCACGACTGGCTTCTGCTTGCTCGGTCCGGTCACTCCGGTACGATAGTCTCAAAGCTTTGATAGTGTCGGGGCTATACTGAACAATCCTCAGGCCTCCATCTTGGCCAGAACATGAAGCGCTTTCGATGCTTGGGTGCGATGCCCTTCAACTCATCGTCGTTCATATGCTTCCCAGCTGCAGACGTGGTACATAGCGTCGGATGTCTCGGTCACTTTGCTCGACCAGTTTTGACAAGACTATGCTGCACCCGAAGCCCATTGCCGAGCTCCAAGAATCACGGTGCCTATCTATCCTGTCTACGCTTGCGCGATAGTGAGGAAGTGAACGACCTTCGCATTAATGAGACGTGTAGAAGCTAAGGAAAACTTGTGAAGTAGATGTACTATGTCCGTGCAAAAGCCCAAAAGATACAGGAAGAGTAGGAGCAGTGTTCGTCATCAATAGAAAACTGCGAAGAGTGCATTGTCAGTTTCCAAGCGAGCGCTCAAGAAGGAGGATGAAAAACTCACAGTACTTGGCAACGTATTTCACGCTCGCCGTCTCACCAGCTGTACACTGGAACGACAATCTTTCAGCAATCGACCCACAGATGACATGTCCGTTGACTTACGGCACTGGCATCTGTACCACCTACGGTAGCAATACGGAAAATCTGCTGCGCGAGGTCGCCGCTCGTCGTGTTCAGCAGAAGCCAGTCGATGTCCCCCGAGCCCGTGGGCGCAACGATGTCCCCAGCTCTACTCGAGACCGCGAAAGCCTGCGTGTCACCCGCGAGTCTATCGTTCGTGAAGTCGAACTTAGGCTCGTTGGCACCTCCAGCAGTTGGATTTGCGATGAAGTAGTGTTGCCCGAGTACGAAGGACCGGTGTCCAATGGTATCGATGAACTCCAGCGCAGTTTGTGACGAGGCAGACCATCCCTCGTAAGCCTTGAGCTGTACAGGCTCACTGGCGATGCAAGAGATGTCGAAGAGCTCTGCGATGGCACCGATATTGCTAGAGACGTGCGAATCATCAGTATGATGAAGGAAACGAGGTAAGATGAACAAACCTGAATGTGCCAGTGGACGAGCAGGTGTAGTTCTGCACACCCACGCCGAGCGCCACGAATCTCGGGGCAGAGGAAGGAGCGATGAGAGCGGTCTGGTTCGAGGGCAACAAGTCCTGTAGGACCGATGCAGAGACACTACATCCCGTCGGGAGGTCGAAGTCGGCCGCGGTATCGCGTGGTGAAGGGGCGGCAAAGGCCGACAAGGAGGCGAGGGCGACGATAGACGTGAACGTATGCAAGGAGAACATGGCAACCATAAGGATAGACTGAAAACTTGGAAGGAGCCACAACACCACGGCGAGTGTAAGGAAGCCCAACCGCTAGGTGGCAGCTTTTATAATGGCGCGTTAGCTTGGGCACGGGCGGGGCGTCAGTATGACCAACCCATTGGTAGACCATCCGGGGATGAGTTGACAAGGCAAGCCCCTCGAGGCTGCGCCCTCGGGGCATGCAGATTCCCGTCATGTAACGACAAGACCTGGCACAACCTCGGCCCGTAGGCATTGGGCATGCAATGTGGCGATGATGGCGATGGAGAGAAAGCTAACGTCGTTGTTAGACAAACGAATTCTCTGAAGGTGCACTCCAACCCACCAGTCAAAGCTGAGATTCGACGTACGAGAGCCCTGGACAGAGAATGCTCGCTGTGCTAGAACGTATACTGTCCATAACCGAGTAGCCCGTGCGGCGATGAACTGCAGGTGCCGGGCATAAGCCGCTAGCACTGGGCGTTCCGATATGCCCGCATTCCCGCAAGATTTGTTTGATTCAGGTCTGAAGCACCAAAAGGCGAGCGTGAGTTTATGGTATCTATTGAGTGCTGGAATCGCGTGTTAATTTCAATGGTCTGTACTGCCTGTGGCTAGTTCGCCCTCAGGCGTTTGATACTGTCCGATTTGAATGCCTAGTTGTGATCCCGTAAGCCAGGTTTATGTAGTATACCCGTATAGGACGAGAGGATCCTGAGTAGCGGGTGGCAAAGGAGACTGCATTGAAGTTGATAGCCGTACTAATGGTGGTTGCGGTCAAGTCGGACGTCGACACGTTGCGCACGCGGCACATCAGCGAATGATGCATGATGACCAATCCGAACCTTCATCTCGTTCATGTCGGTACTTACACGATGCCGTTAGTGCGCCTGCCTATTGCCCATGGAACGCTCTGCGCACTGACTGGAAAGAGGGACGTCTCGCGCGAGAAGAGGCGCATCCGGCACACAGTGTATCCCAACTCAAAGAATGTGTCGGCTCATTCAACCTTCTTTCGCGTTCCCCGGGCATCATTCGGGCATAATCGACTGATTGGTTGATCGAACGTGCGGGCTACCCAAAGAGCAAACGAAGAGCCGGGCGAAAGAGTTCAGGGTTCGAGGTTCAATGTTCAGGTTCGAGGAGGGCAAGGTCGAGATGAACTTGAAAGTAGTGGAAAGAGCTAATGGGATGTTAAAATACGAGAAAGATTGATCATATACAACGCAGGGATCATGAGAACTGGATACATGCACATGGTGGTAGTTATTTCTGGTCATGAGGGACAGATCGGAGGCTAGGCTGGTGTCAGCCTTACCGCGCCTCTCCAGACGTGCCTATGCTCCGCCAAAGCTTCAACTTCAAAGTCGACATTTCATGCTAGTAAAAGACTGTCGAAGCAATCAGACGCTGCAAAGTCAAGAAATCAGTATGCTTACAGTACTTGGCGATGTACTTCACGCTCGCGGTCTCTCCGGATGTGCACTACAACGAAGTGTAAGCGTCTGGTGTTAGACGAGCGAAATAACCTACAGCAGCCCCGTCGGTGCCTTCGACCGTAGTGACGCGGAAGATCTGGTTCGCGAGCGCCCCACTCGTCTTGTTGAGCTCCAGCCAGTCGATGTCGTTCGAGCCTGTGGGCGCAAGGATGTCCCCGACCTTACTCATGACTGCAAACGCATTCGCATTGTCCGAGAACCTGTTGGACGTGAAGTCAAACTTGGGAACGTTCGCGCCGCCGGGGGTCGGATTCGCGATGAAGAAGTGTTGCCCAAGCACGAAGGGTTGCTTCCCGGTCTCTTCGATCAACTCCTGGACCGTCTGAGACGTGGCAGACCATTTCTTGAACTCCTCGGTTTGAATGGGCTTGCTAGCGATGCAAGATATGTCGAAGAGCTCGGCGACCGCACCGATGTTACTGACAGATGAAGTATCAGCATCGGAAGAGACCGTGAGCGGGAGAGGCATACGTGAACGTGCCGGTAGAGGAACATGTGTAGTTCTGTACGCCGACCCCAAGTGCCACGAAGTTGGGCGCGGAGGTAGGCGCAACGAGAGCGGTCTGGTTCGCGGGCAACAGCTCCGGGAGGACCGATGCAGAGACGTAACAGCCTGTCTTTGTCGTCGGAGGCTGGAAACCCTTCGCAGAACGCAGCGATGGCGCCGCGAACGTCGGCGAGGCCGCGAGCGCGATGAAAAGAGTAGCACTGGCCCAAGAAAACATGTTTGAGCAGCTTCAGAGGAGGTTGGGAACCTGCGCAATCACCACAAGATCGTGTGTGATGAAGATCTTGTACCATTTGACGTGATGCTTTTATACTGCACGGAAGTACATGTATGCCGCATGGAATAGAACGTTTGTTCTATCAGTCGACGGACGTGCGTAAGGCCTTCGTGGGGGAACGCCTCAATGCTGCGCCCTCGGCATCGACAAAGCTTTGAGCTTTGTTACATCGGCAGCGTACCAAGCGCAAGAAGACGCCGTTTGCAGCTTCTACCAGGTCCATCGGCATGGACATGCGAGCATGAGCGGGATTTGTGGTGCAGGTGATGCCAGCGAAAGTTCGTCGATAGAGAAGCGGTCTTCTTCGAGTGATTTTGCTGGTTGACGCTCGCAAAGTTGTCGGATCTGACCCTGAGGGCGCTATTGTGAACATCGCTCAGTAGAACGCATTGTTGGTACGTATGCTCGCAGACTCGCAAGCTTGCTTGTAAGAGACGCTAGACGAGGCCATGTCGGCGGCCCGACATGCCTGGGGGCCTCTGCCAGCAGTTCTTGTAACATGAGTTTAAGCATCACGACAGCGTTGCAGAAAGCAGATCCATCGCCTGGCGTAATGCCTGTCTTCAACGGTAAGTGTGCGTTTGTCGATGCAAATCTACATGGGACCGGTAGGCGTAGACATGGATAGCTAGACGATCTATTACCACAGGCTTGGACCCCCGGCTGTCCTTTCACCGTGAAGGCCGCTAGTCGGCGTACCGTGCCAGGAGCACCGTCGGGTGCCGGACCAGGTCCGATGGCCGCGGCGAGATTTTAAGGGAGAACTTGACGCTGCGGCTGAAGAGTGGTCCTTGGACCAGCCTCAACACCGAGACGCTGGAGCTCTGCGTTGATGTGAGAGGTGCACGAGAAAAGAAGACAGAATACATACCTCGTATGTCCACTTCTTCTCTGTGAGTTGGCTTGGCGTTATGCATTCAGGACGCCGTCCAAGGGGCCTAGGTTTTCCCGACCCTTCCTATACCGTTTTCGCATAGTCACTTGCATGACAAGAGGTTGAAGTATCCCATTCTGCTTGGCCGGGGTACTGAGTCGCCCTCTGGCCTTTGGGTCGATGCACACTAGAAGCACACGCAGACAATGCAGGTAACTTCCTCTTTTCGCGGCACAGGAGTATTTGATGTAGTGTTTAGCGGGTCGTGGTGGTTCTGCTCAAGCCGCGTTGCGGTCAACAACTGAGCAGCGCGTCACTTCGGCCCGGAACAGCCGATCGGCTGGCTACTCAAACGAGAAGACAGCGAAAATATGTACAGCTGGCCCTTCAGGGCTATATTGGCTGGGATGAATTCAATATATATGTCTCAAGGAGGACTAAGGATGATACCGATAGTCAACTCGGGCATCGCACCGGTCCGCTTGCGACGGAGAGCCGTACGTCCTTTAACTCAGAAGTGGAGTCAAACCACTGTTCGCGCCCACCAGATGCAGCTCACAGACAGAAGACCGTCTGCGCGTGCTACATTTAGTGGCCAAGTTGAAGCGGTCGGCACCACATCACGGACCTACGCCCGTCTGTCAAGCGCGCATGCGCGCGGTGTACCTTCGAAAGTACGCTTGGCTTTCGCTCGTAGAACGAGCATTGTCAGCTCGTGCATGTGCGCCATATCATAACCTGGACTGTTTGAGAGTACTTTTCTCTTAGCGGATGTACCAGATTGATGAAATCCAGAGGTCTGTGTGGACCTTACAGAGTGATTCTTGGTTATATATGGCTACTCCATGAAGAGCCTGCAGCAGGTATGCGCAGGTCGCTTGCGGTAAGCTAACGCCGGAAATCCATCCCGAGCGCTCCGGCTGTGCCTTGTCTCTGTAAGCCATACAAAACCCATCCTGTCCGGCGTAACATTGTCCGCCATCAGACCATAAGACGTAGCATCGACAACATCGACAGCATTTCGAAGAGCGTTGCGAAAGGGAGATAAGTACAACAACACATCATGGGATTGTATATCCGTTCATGCCGATGTCAAGCGGCGGCTTGCACGGCGGACATGAACCGCGCAGATACAGAATTCTGCAGATGCCTGAGTTTGGTCGCTTCTTCGGCCGGTATCACGCGTAATTGGGTCGCACCCTGTACACACAGCGATGAATACTTGAGATCGTGATTTGGAAGCACGGGGGACATACCAGGGCCAACGGCTGACTTGCGTCTAGCTGTTGCGTCAAGTTGTCCGTCATCTCCGCCAGCGCTACGTTGTGTCGTGGGTCTTCGCGGTCGCGCAAGACATCGGGAAGGATCCCGATTAGTCGGGGTATACTGCGGACCAGGTCTTCCATCTCTGCCGCTTGTGCGGCATCTGCAACCGTATTTGGGTCGAGGACGTGTTGCCGTAGTTCAGGGAGCTTGGTGAGAATATCAACGTAGTCCAAGTAAGCCTGTTCGGTCGGCCACAGGATCAGCACTTAATCTCGTGATGGCGAGTTGAGGGGAGTAGCGCACCTTGCCGCGTACATGCCAGCCCTCAACGGGGTGCCCCGCGATGCGTGTGAATAACGAACCGAGAAGCTCCAGATCGTCACGGATCACGGCCTCGGGCGCAAGTTCCAGCACGGCAATATCGTGCGCCGCGCCATAGAGGCCTGCCTGCATGTATAACTCGTATGCATCCCATACTTCGCCTTGACTGTAACAGTAGATTGCCTGCACATCTACTTTAGTTATGGCACAACATGGCGGTACGCAGAGCGCACCTTCGCTTCGTTCACCCAAGCAAGCGGAATCTTGAGGCTACCAGCTAGACCGCGCATCACCCAGTCGTCCAGTAAGGGCGCAGATCGCGCCAGCAGATCCTTGATCGCCTTCTCTCGACTACAAGCGCTATTCAATATGCCATCATGACTGTTGACTACGGAAGACGTACCCAACAGAACTCTCGATGTGTAGTAGCACAAAGGCGGCCTCCTGTATCAAACCCGCCTGTTCGAGCTGATGCGCGTAACTGCTGGCTAGAATGTCTGCGCTTGGACTGTGCCCTTCGACCCGCTCATCTTCATCTCCGTCCTGGCTCATCGCCCCTGCATCCGGTTCATCACGATCTCCGAAGTCCTTCGCCCGGAGACACCGCGATAGTATGATGTACATGTGCCATAGTAACGCGTAGTCGACAGGTGATGGTCCAAAGGAGTGTGGAACCATGAGTGATGATAGGGTGAATTGTGGATCTGCGTATAACCTGATTAGGTTGTACAGGGCGTCGTCGAGCGCATCATCCCTCGGCGTGTTCCATGCCGACGGCGATAGTGTAGACTCTGTGAGATACCAGGGTCTGGGGGCGGCCGTCCGTTCAGGGTGTGCTTCTCGATGAGCATCATATGCGTCGAACACCTCGGCGATGGGCGCTTCCAGTGGTTTAGAGTACCACAGATGCAAACCGAGCGTCCGCTTCCAGTCCAGACCGCGAGCAATGAGCACCTCCGCGCAGCGCTCGACGCCCGTCCCGTCCGAACCCTCCAGCCGATCAACTTCTCCAGCAAGAAGACCGTAGATGCGGCGTATGTCCTCGGGAATATGCGCGTCCACCCTATCATTTCGCCACACCTCCAACTGTTCTCCAATGTCCGCGCGGAAGTCGTCGTCTCCGCCCGCTTGCGCCAGTAGCGTTGCGAGCCTGACATCGCCGTTCGCGAGCGCAGCTTCACATGCCTCCTCAATCTGATGACCGCTGAGAAACGAGAACGCGCGCGCAGCGGAAGCTTCGGCCGGTAGACGCCTCAAATCGGCTTCCACTACCGGCGCCACCGCGTCTTCCAACCATTCGGATAACGCAGCTTTGCGGCGGATGCCATGTATTCGTTCGCGAACCGAAACGTCCACCGAATGACCCAAACCAAGGTTTAATTCGTCGAATAACGCGTGTCCTAGTCGGAATAATTGCGCCTCGAAGGAGTGGTCAGTTGAAGGGAATAGAGAGGCGAAGGAGGCGAAGTCAAGTGTAGGTGAAGGGTCGGCCGTAGGAACCCCGTCAGATCCTATGACTATCGGTGATTTGGAGAGGTGCAGTTGAAGGAGCTTGGACGTTAATCCGTCTTCGTCGTCAGAGGTGAGGCCTAGTGGCACTTGAGTTTTGGTGAGGATGGAAGAGTTTGCGGTGACGTCTCTAAGGTAGGGTTTTATTAGTGACAAGCATTATATACGTCAGATAAAGGACATACGCTGAACTCTGGGGAGTGCATATCTTGCCAGGGTGAACAAGGGATCCGCCAGGTCCCCAAGAAGCACGGAAAGAGCGACCAAAGGTAAGGCCTGCATCGGCAAACGAGCGTTCTGCCTTGTTCGTAGACGAAGACGCCAAATTGACGCGCGCATATGCCCGAGAAGGGTGATGGAAAGTCGGTTCGGAATAACGCGCCGGCTGAATATGGTAAATTAAGCGCCTAAGCAGACAGTTGTAGACAATAGAGGCCCACCATGAATCCATCCTCCATGTCAACCGTTCTCGCGCGAGTCTGCGCCGGCGCAAGCGAGAGTTGTCTGCCGGGTGCCTGCGCATCCAGTCTCCTCAAAGCCTCGGTCTCCTCCGGTACACGAAATAATGAAGCCTGCATGACGTGCGCCTTCTGAGCGTCGACTCCGACTTGCTGGGCCCATCCAGGCACACTGGCCGACCGCCGCATAGAGTCTGCGACAGAAGAAGTTTCCGAATACGACTCGTCGTCGTCGTCGTCGTCGCTGCCGTCAAGTTCGTGCTGCTGGTAATATTCCCCGTCTGGGCCTTTCACTAGCGCTTTTCTGTCCCGGCGTCGACGGACCGGACTATGCTCCAGCTCATCCTCGTCCATACGAGAGTCGTCATCTGAGCCTGAGCCATCCGTCATTTCCGCATCCTCCTCCTCCTCCTCTTCCTCCTCTTCTTCATCCTCGTAGTGGCGCACAGGTGCAGGCAGCGCCTTCACAGCTGTCTTTTGTATAAATGGTGTGGCGCCACTGTCACTCTCATCATCGCTGAGCTTTGCAGTGAACTTCACCATGACAGGTGAAGTAGGGTTTGGGGAGCGAGAGGCGGAGTGGTGGCGGTATGAGGACGCGAACTTGCAGGCGCGCCGCGTCGCGACTCGCGCGCGAAACCAACAATATCGCGATCACATGAGTTTTTCCACCTCAGATTGATACCGCTCCTACGAAATGGCACCACACACAAGTTGGCCAGCAAAGGAATGTGATATAGACAATCAAAAAGATACAGTGTATGAAAATACATGTGAGCGGCAGACTACAGGACATAGATAAAACATGACGGGGATTACGAGTGAAGTCGAACTAGTATGATACTGGTGAGGATAAGGAGAGGTTCCGTGCGTCTATAGAGCTAAAGGTACACGTAAGGACCGATTATAGTGCCAGACGTAATCGTAAGCGATATTAAGGAACCGTGTTCAATCGAGAGGCACGCCGGAAAGGAAGAGCGTCGACGCCACCACACACGCCTCAAGCAAACCATACTGCATCGCCTGCCGAGTCATCTCGAGAGCCGCACCGCTCTGCGACCTCCCGACGCGCGCAAGCAATACGGACGTATTCCCCTGCGGCATCCACAGCTGCATAGACAAAAGACAAAGCAGCATACGATTAGTAGATGAAGTCACGTGGTAGCACAGCACGTACACAAATGCTCGGTCCATCGGGCGCCCAGAAGTAGTTCACCCCGCGCAATGCCATGAAGCGCGACCTATTCATTATCAGATTAGACTTTGAGCAGGGGCGAGTGCTGACAAAGGCTCACTTCCTGTCAGCCGAGGTGCGCAGCCAGTCCCGAACTGCCGTACGGGGCAGGAGACCCGGAATCTCAATGGCAGGCTGGTGTCCCCAGTCCACGAAGGCGACCGTCCTACGCGAGGTATCCGTCCAGATCGTGGGACGTCCAGGCTTCGGCTCTGTGATGACGCGCATCTGAGCTTGACCCTGCGGATTCACAACTGTCGAGTTGAGGATCGTCGACTTAAAGTCGGTGATGTGAAAGACGAGCGCGTCGCGAATGACGGTGGTCGGACGCGGAGCCTGAGAGGCAGGAAGAGCTCCAAAGAGCGACGTTGGGTAGGCCGACTGGGTATCCCAGCCTTGAACAAGAGGGTTGAAGCCGGACATGGTTAGACTTGATCGAGTGCTTTGAGCGGAGATTGAGAAGAGATGCAAATGTCTATGCAAGAGAGCGAAAGCGAAAACGAGCCGAAGCAGGAGGCGTGTTGTGCAACTCCGCTTTAGGACTCGTACGCTTTTATAGCCCGCAGCAATACACCAGAAATACGCTGCGTCGGTATCGGGGGAATCGCTTTGCGAGAGGCAGCCATCACTCGAGTGGCAGCACGTACCCGTCCAGTGCACTGGGACTCCTTTCCATAGCAAAGGCGCGTGCATTGCGTTACAAACGTATCTCGTGCCCGTCCTGAAGCGGATGAAAAGAGACTGAGACGTCGTTGTCGGGAGTCCCGGGATGACCAACGCGCTACGGTGGGGCGGCGCGAACTTGCACAGGATAAGTGTGCCCGCTCCCTTCGTGCGTACCTCGACTCGCCACCACTCGCTGCGACCGGCGTATGCTACCTATACGCTTTGTCGGAGTCGAAAGTGGTAGTGGCTGTAGAGACGAGTGCGCTGCCGTCCCGGCAGGCACGTTGTGCCCGGCTTCGCGACCACGATGCTATCATCAAAAAAGTTCGATTTTCCATCTGACCAACAAATCAATCCGTTCTCGAGAATAAAGTGGGCCCGCCTTTGCAGGTCCCCGATCTAGCATATCAGGGCCTACTAAACGATGATTGAAGATCGTACGACGTCCGACGACGCCGATGGCCCGTGCTGTTCGTTGGACGCAAAGCCGCGCTCAACGTCGGCCAAGGGCCAGATTGCGATGCGAGTGCCAGCCGCCATCATTCGAGAAAGTCTATACCACGTTCCGCGATGTCTTCGGGCCAGGTAATTGTTCTGCCGAGTAAGGACTCTGATGAGGTAGCTTTGTGTCCCGAGAGGGTAATGTCCGTTTACCGGTGGGCCTCGCACCGAACCAGCGTTGTAGAAGTCGGATCCCGGGGTGACGGGCTGGGAATAGGCGCCACAACACCCTGAGCCACAAAAGTCCTACAACGTTCGACAACCGAATCACGTTGATGTTGTCTGAGGCTAGCAACTGCAGTACTGCATTGTAGCGAGCCTGCACCTCGCGATGCGCGCAAGCGGCAAGGACGGGATCAGCATCTTGACGTCGCCGCATCGGGTACCTGCCAGCAAGCTGGCGACGGAGCGCATCAACATCGGATATCTCGGTCGTCGAAGTGTGCTATTCAGCCTTTTGTTTGTCTTGCCTTCGTCAGTGGTATCACTAAGATGGTCGGACATGCGTGTTGGATTCGTAGAGCTTTGTACGTCTGAGCTTTGAAAGATATGCCTCAGCTTTGATGCGCGGAAAGGCATACCAAACACGGCTCGTCGCCGAGGGGAGTCGCTTGAGTTCACCGTCGCTGCGCCCGGCGCACTCGGGAGTTACTGGACATGGACATCTTGTATGGTAAGGACGAGATCGGGCGAGCCTGATAGTCGCTCTCCAGTATCTTGGCAGAGCCACCGGTAGAGCAAAACTACGAGATACGTGCTAGATCGAGGAGCGGGGTTTGGAAGAGCAAGGCAAGTGGCGGTAAAAGGAGACCCTCGAGTGCCTCGTCCTCGTGGTCGTGGCGCACGAACACGGCCAAAGCCGTATTGCTCCCACTCTCATTCACCATATGGTGCACTAGGCTTCTCCAACGAATAACACAGGTCTAACGTCTAACATTCTTCTCGCGCTTCCCAATTGAGCCCTGCACCGCTTACCTGCCGAGATCTAGCGCCCAAGATATAATCACACATCGAAACTCGTGGTTGAAAGATGGACGTTATGATATCAGAACAGAGACATAATGGACAGGAAGAGCAAGTAATACACCGAAAGGAGACAATGCACAGATGAGCTTTGCGTGAGTATTACATAGCGTACCTGCGGCAGTCAGTTAGCAGACGATCAAAGTGTGTCATAGATAAGACGACATACTTCCGTGTCCACTCCCGAGCCGTCGCCTCGTAGCGCGCACGATCCGTCTTGTACAGATGCGCGATGTCAGGGACGAGCGGGTCATCAGGGTTGGGGTCCGTGAGCATCGAGCAGATAGACAGCAGCACTAAATATAATAAGACAATGCGGTCAATCAAAGCCCGGTGATGTTCGGGCCATGCGTGGACCACGCACCCTTCGAGATGGTCAATGCTGGCGACCACTGGTCCCTCAAGATGTCGAGGCAAATCGAACCGTTCGCGTTGATGTTCGGGTGGTAGATCTTGGTCGTGAAGCTGACCTTGGGAGGCTTGAAGGGGTAGTCGGTCGGGAAGGTAATGGAAAGGAAGAAGACGCCGCCGGCGTACGGCGAGTCGCCCTAGAACAATGATTCCGCGGTCAGATAGACGCTCGACTGGGCGTTTTGATGTAAGGTTACTCACGGGACCCATGATCGTTGCCTGCCACTGGAACATGTTATCGCCAGTCGGACCGGCACTGCACGACGAAGGCGGGTCGCGCCCGAGGTCAATCAACTCCTGCACAGCAGTCAGCGCGAATTCCTTTTCGGGCAAAAAGGCGCTGATGCGGGGGAACAACAGTGGCAATCCGCGCGCCATCTTCGTCCCACCGGCAACACCGGCATATGCCGCCACGAACCTTGTTAATGCGCTTGAGGGCCATGGTTCTAGAGAGTCGTGAAGATAAGGCTGCATGAAGATCGGTGTAAGACGATGGGCGGTGGATCGTGCGACATCGGAGAGGATCGATGTCATGTTGTCAGCGACGACGGAGAGCGATATGGCGATTTCAAAAGAAAGGTGGTGATCGCGCCGTCAGCGCAAATCCTAACCAGTACTTTGAATATATGCTTACAGACTAGAAAGACGGGCGGGGTCCGATGGGACGAGCGAGGGACCGGTGGTGGTGAGAGGCAGACCCGCGAGCGATGGGCCAGCTGTATTTGTCCCGCTGACATAAGCTCAGAGCCTCGTCACGCGGCCCCTTCGCCCAAGCTGACTACTTTCTCGTTCTTACCTTCATGGCGATGCTAGCACTTTCTCCTTCCGACTCATGATGCAGTGCTTCAAAGAAACGTACAGTGCGGGCTTGCTGCTACCGGCTCGGCGGCTTTGAAGCTGTGAGCTCGGTGGAAGTCTCAGCAGCGAGGAGCCTTCGTGGCAAGATACCCTGAGCTTAGTATCTAGCTTTCGTTCACGCTGCGCGACGAGGTTCCTGTAAAGATGATTCTTGCACAACCCCATATGAGGGCCTCTGGGCGGACTGTGAGACATCTACAAGTAGTCCATAGACCCGGAAGCTCAAGTTATGACGCCCTATGCACTCTTTCGCAAGTCCCTTGTACTTTTGAACTCTGATGGATGGTTGCGGAACACATTCGCAAGATGATCCTCCGATGGAGTTCGGCACATGCTCTTCCATCTCAAGAGCGTGCGCCATCGGATAACTGTGCTGCAGGGAAGCTCGCATTGATCGATACGTTCAACAGCATCGGGTAATATCCGGTGCCCTTACGGCCGGGGTGCAATCTCGATGGTATCTACTGCTACCACTCGCCGCATTCAACGCCGGCCCTCCACCATTATGATATGGTATCCAAAATTGGTCTTCACAAGGGACGACATGATCGGCTTATCCACCGAAGAGGGCTGCAACGCGAACGCTGCCTCCTGGAACGGACCCTTCGGTCGACGTCAGAATGAAGACGTATGAGTGAACATAGTTACTGAATCTTACCACCATAGACCCTCGGACCATCCAGCCCAGACTACCTCCGGCTGCGAAGGTTGGGGGTTAGAGACATACTCTACTGAGAGCCGCTCGTGTGACCTACCTTTCGCCTTGTCCTCAGAGTACTCTTGAGCTACCTTGTCAAAGCGCTCGCCGCCCTGATCGGGTCATTAGTATCGGTAGTAGACTGTAGTGTCAATATAGGTTACCTGTATCTTCTCGAGGGCCTCCATCGCACGCGAATGCTTCTCGCACAAGATGTGCCTCACGTTGACGGCAGTCGCCGCCTTCAACTACAGAGACACAAGTTTAATCGCGCAAGATCGCAAGACATCGGCACAGTGCAAGCACCTTGCCCTTATCCTCCGCATCCTCCGCATTATCCTTCTTGCCCTTCCCCGAACCTTTCTTGTCCGTAGACTGCCCGCCCTTTTTCGCCATGGTGGTGAGCGTGAGCCAATCAGCGGGCGCACTTTTGGGACAGCCCGCGCGTGGGATCGAACGCGGTGCCGCACGACGAGTCTGACGCGCTCGACCGAGGCGCCCAGCCGAAATTTCGACTTCACCTCTCGCTACCACCTCCACACTCCTCTCCGCGCGCCTATCTGTCCTCCCGCGCGGGAATAAAAATATGTCGCAGGACAAGATCACGCGTATCGCGATCGTCGACTCGAACCGCTGCAAACCGAAGCGATGCGCGCAGGAGTGCAAAAAGGTCTGCCGGCATGTCGCACCGCACCGAGCGCTCTTCTGAAGCTTTCTTGTTTTGTTTGACTAGTCATGTCCTGTCGTAAAGATGGGTACGTCTACTTGATATGATCTGAGATGTATGATATCCTGTAGTCTGATTCGAGTCTCAAGGCAAGCTCTGTATCGAGGTTAAACCCTCTGACAAGATTGCCTTCATCTCCGAATTCTTGTGCATCGGATGTGGTATCTGTGTCAAGAAGTGCGTGAATACAGAGCCTATGATACCGGCCTCGAGTCTTATGGAGATTATAGATGTCCGTTTGAAGCCATCGCCATCATCAACCTGCCTACCAACCTTTCCTCGGAGGTCACACATCGATACACCGCAAACTCCTTCAAGCTCCATCGGCTACCTACGCCAAGACCAGGACAGGTTCTCGGCCTTGTCGGCACAAACGGTATCGGAAAGAGTACGGCGCTCAAGATCCTAGCCGGGAAGCTCAAGCCAAACCTCGGTCGATATGATGTGCGTTTCATCTCCGCGCTTTGGCAGCATGATCGGGCATCTGAATAATACTGTGCAGGATCCCCCGGACTGGCAGGAGATTTTGAAGTACTTCCGTGGCTCTGAGCTGCAAAACTACTTCACGAAGGTGCTGGAGGACAACTTGAAGGCGTTGATCAAGCCGCAATACGTCGACCATATACCCCGCGCCATTAAGGGCGTCATGACCGTTGACCAGATGCTTGACTCGAAGAAGGAGCGCGACGTCAAGCAGCAACTATGCGACGCGCTTGAATTGAACAACGTTCTTCAGCGTGAGGTTGGCCAGCTTTCTGGTGGAGAGCTGCAACGGTTCGCAATTGCCATGTCTTGCATTCAGCAAGCAGACGTGTGCGTCTTGATGCCTCTGAGTCTCTCCCCTCCGTTTAACGTCTTCATAGATACATGTTTGACGAACCGTCAAGTTACCTTGACATCAAGCAACGTCTCACCGCCGCAGAAACCATCCGTCAACTGCTGAACCCCGCCAACTATGTCATCGCCGTCGAGCACGATCTATCAGTATTGGATTACCTATCAGACTTTGTCTGCGTGCTGTATGGCAAGCCATCAATGTACGGTGTCGTCACCATGCCCTACTCTGTCCGTGAAGGTGCGATCGGGTGTTACTTGGTCGCTGTATGATTGCTGACTCAGGCCATAGGTATCAACATCTTCCTGGACGGTTTCATCCCGACGGAGAACCTGCGATTCCGCGAGGACTCGTTGTCATTCAAGATGGTGGAGACCGCCGAAGAGCTGCTCGTCGACAAGACATCCCAATACTCGTACCCCGCCATGACCAAGACGCTCGGCGACTTCAAGCTGAACGTCCAACCTGGCTCCTTCACCGACTCGGAGATTATCGTCATGTTGGGCGAGAATGGAACGGGCAAGACGACCTTCGTCCGCTTGTTGGCCGGTGACGTACCCGACCAGGGCGAGGCGCTCAAGCAGCAGTTGTCTGTGTCGCTCAAGCCGCAGACGATCTCGCCGAAGTTCCCGGGTAGCGTGCGGATGTTGTTGCTGAAGCGTATCAAGAGCGCATTCATGCACCCACAGTTCACGGCGGACGTTGTCAAGCCGATGAACTTGGACAACATCATTGACCAGGAGGTCAAGACGTTGTCTGGTGGTGAGCTGCAGCGTGTGGCTATCGTCCTTGCGCTCGGTATGCCGAACGTGCAGGTGTACCTCATCGACGAGCCCAGCTCGTACGTGAACCCCTTTACTCTCCGCGATCACTCGTACTAATAGCGTCGCAGTTTCTTGGACTCCGAGCAGCGTATCATCGCGTCGAAGGTCATCAAGCGCTTCGTCCTCCACGCCAAGAAGACGGCCTTCATCATCGAGCACGACTTCATCATGGCGACCTACCTTGCCGACCGCGTCATTGTCTTTGAGGGTCAGCCAGCCGTCGAGGCCACCGCGACACCGCCGCAGTCGCTGCTCACGGGCATGAACAAGTTCCTCGCCTCGCTCGAGATCACGTTCCGCCGCGACCCGACCAACTTCCGTCCGCGCGTCAACAAGCTCGCGTCCGTCAAGGACAAGGAGCAGAAGGCGTCGGGCAACTACTTCTTCCTCGAAGAGTAGATATCTTCTTTCGATTATTAGTTGTTGTACAGTAGTGTACACTGGGCACTGGGCGGGCGAGTCTGTAATGTAGATCACAATCACGAACTGTAGCCAACTGCTCATATCGCTGTATCCATTCCCGCATATCTCTTCTAGCATTTTCATTGGTCCTCTCCACTTCTGCGTTGGTTCACATCGTATCTTGGGTTCTATTGCCCAGAAGCATGAACCTACACGCCACGACCGGTTTTGCACAACGCCTCGCTCAAAAGGGAGAAGATCTAATCTTGATCAGGATTGACTTTCCCGTGATCGCCTTTACGTACCTGGTCATCGAGGACTTTCTCCGGCCCTGTCATTGCCATCACAGCGCACTTGCTTCCGCCTCCGATGTCAACAATGAAATTCACTTTTGACTGGTCCGGCGGGCTCAACGCGCACAACGGCAATGCCTGGCCGTTATGAAAGTATGCCTGTTGCGAGGGGCACGTTGACTGAAAATAGGATGCGTCAAGACAGGATGAGACGACTCGCCCATACAACCTCCGATGGCCGCACAGAACTCCTGGCGATGGCCGTTCGCGCGCAGTACGCCTTCACGAAGGTCCACATCTCCCTCGTGATTCGATGCAAGCACTATTCGAGAACCTTGAGCGCGCTGAATCGTTGAGCGCCATGCGTTACCCGCAAGTTTAAACGACGGTCGACCCCCGAGGCCGGGACCGAGCTCTGTGGTGCCTTGGCGGAAGAGCGGGGGCTCGGAAGCAACAATGTCCTACTGACATATATAGTCGGAGGCTCTTTCCTAGGGTCGGACTTGGTTCCCTTATTCCCGCTGCTAACTGCAAAACTGCTGAGAGGAGAAGGTGTCGAAGAGGATGGGCGAGTCCGCCATCACGGTGGAGACGTATCATCATGTGTACGCCTGTTCACTTCTCTGTGCTCCCCTATTATGCCAACAGATCCTCAGCTGGGTCAATTACGGGTTTGGCTTGGCTGCTATCGGTACGCATTGACCGATGAGGATAGCGCTTACCCTGAGTCCTAACAGGTCTCTACATTTCACAGTGATTGTCTTCTACGACTGGTTGATCACCCTCCCGGACGAGATCGCCCACGTCTGGTTCGGAAAACGCAACGCCGCAACATGCCTGTATCTTGCTGCGCGCTACAGCGGTATCATCACCTATGGGCTTTCGGCATATCCGCTCCTTGCACCCAACATCTCGATCTCAACCTGTAATGCTCTACGAGACTTCCACGTCTACGCCTCGCTGGCCATACAGGCCTTGACTGCAGGCATGTGTCTCCATGCCGCCCTGCCGCACTAGAGCATTTTCTGACTTCTCCCCCTAGCCGTTTTCATCCTGCGTGTATACGCCCTGTACAATAGTCGCAACTTGGTCATCGGCCTAGTCACCTTCTGCGTCTCTGTCCTCATCATTGCCATTGTAAGTCTTTGGGCTCACAAGGCTATCCACGATGCTAATCACCCCCAGCTCTTGATTGTATTGCCTAAACATCATGACCTAGTGTACCCTACCGCGCTACCGGGGTGTAACCCTCTTGAGACGCATGCAGAGTGCGTCATCTATTCTCGTCCACTGAATCCGCCTGTATCTCATGCTCACTTCTTCGCGCAGAGCCGTCCGTGAGTCAAGATTATCTTCCTTTCCCGGAGAACGCAGGGAGTACTGATTGATCGCCAGGCTTCGCCATCATTTGGAGCTGTGTATCTGTATTCGACCTCGTGGTTGTGGGCCTCACGGCAAGAAAGGGGTGGCGCGCGTACAGCCATAGTCTGAGTAGACTATGGTATGTCTTCATGCGTGACGGTACGTCTCCAGGCTAGCATTGAGAGTGCGCCCAAACTGACGTGCATTCGCAAGGTTTTGTGTACTTCACGTACGTTACCGCGCTACTTCTTGCTTTTGTAGTCTGACCCGAGAGACAGGGTCCTCTTCATCGCGAACACTGGCAACATCGTCACATTCCTCGTCGCGCCTCCTGTGCTGAAAGGCGTAAACGGCGTCCTTACTACCGCTCTCGAGGCGACCTTGGTCTCACGACTGATCCTGAACCTCCGAGTCTATGACGCCGAACGCCGGAGCGAGCTTGAACAGGCCGCATCAGGCGAAGCGACCGAACTCCGCGTCGTCGTGCACACTACGACTGCCACGCATGGGGACTCTCAAACCCGCGGGAGACGGTACGAGCTTGATAGCGCTCATACGATGGACGACCATGACGGACGCAGCTATACCGAGATGGAGATTGAGGAGGTCAAGGCGGAGTGGAAGAGGGACAGGGTGCGTGGGACCGCGGTCTAATAGATTTCTCTCTTTGGGCTGTATATTGGGGTTGTGCACTGTATCATTGGTGTTGTACGTCGGATAGGAGCTTCCCAAATGTATTCTAATACATGTACTGGTTCTGTCAGAGAGCAATCAGCTCGGTCCACCCGCACGAGCCATCTTCTTGTCGTGGCCCCTCTTCCTCGCTTGATTGCCCCTCTTGTCCTTCCGCGCACGGTCGCGGGCATCACCGCCTCCTCCCCCGCCTGGGCCTCCTCCGCGTCCTCCACCTCCACCTCCGCCACGACCCCTGCCTCCTCTAACACCGCCTCCGCCGCGTCCTCGCCCGCCGCGAGTCGGGGTATTGCTGCGAGACGGTTCGGCCGAGGATGGTGGGAGCGAAGGTTGATTGCCGCGGAACTCGTGCTTCTGGTTGATGCGGTCTTTTTGCTTCGGCTATAGGAAGAAAAACGGGTTAGCTGTAGAGGACTGTATGAATAAGCATGAGACAACGAACGTTGCGTTCGAGCATAACGAACCAGCCTTCAATTTGGCCATCGTCGAGCCCTAATGCGTAGTCACCATACCGCGCGCGTGTAAGAGAGTCAAGGAGCGTACCGGTCTGAGCACGCAACGCTGCGCGGTCCTTGCCTCTCCGTGTAACAGCATCACGCTCAAACACACCCGGGTTCGCCAGCCAAGCAAGCTCCAACTGTGCATACGGATCCTCCTTGCCCTTGCCCTTGCCCTCGCCGCCTTCCTCTCTTTCCGCATCGCTCTCGTCGGACTCCTCTCCATCTCCAATGACCTTCACAGCACCGCCCATCTCATCCTCCTCATCGAATGCGACGTTCCTCGCTTTCTTTTTCGACGGAGCCGGGAGGCCAAAGACTTCCGCTAGCGCAGCCTGCCCGTCGTCATCGTCATCTTCCTCTTCGTCAGACGATGCAGCTTCGGCGCGCCGAAGTATGTCTGCTTTCATGCTTGACACGAAGCTGCGATCCGCGAGCAGAGCGGATGCGTCATCCTTCTTCTTTCCTACGTGCACGCGCGAAAGATCCATTTCTTGCGCATCGAACACGTTCGCTCTGTCGCGCGTGAACTCGAACTCGTCCTGCGTGGCCACGGGTGCGGAGGAAGCAGCGAGCGTAAGCTGTTCAGGAGGCGGCGCAGTCCCTTCGAGTAGAGCGCCAACTGTACGCTCTACACCAGCAAAGTCGGGGTGCGACAGTAGAGAGCGGACATATGCCTCGTCCGTGTCCGGCAAAATCGACAATACCTCCTTGACCTGCGCGTCCAGCTCGCTCGCATTCTTGCTGCTACTGGCTACGGGAGCGGCCGAAGAGGCAGGGGACGGCTTGTGTCCACGATGATGGATTCCCGGCTGAGCGCCCGAGCCGAGAAGAAGCACGAGCGCTCCGGGCTCCTTTGATCCGTCGTTCATCGCTCTCAGCGATGCGGCAAGCACGTCGATGCGGGCGTTATCCTCGGCTCTCTCCGCCCTCGCGATGCTTTTCTCCAGCATCTTAGCCAGATCGTGCGTCGCTTGATAATCGACTAGAAGTGGGCGGTTGAGGAACGGCATGGGCGCCGAACCGGACGGTGCCGGGGGTAGCTCCTGGAGCGTGAGTAGCATGTCGAGAGCGCGCGCGGCTGCGGAGGTCCGGAGTGCGCCATGTGCAAGGGAAAGGGATTCGAAGAGCGACTTTAAGAGGATATGGAAGGTGTCCAGCAGCGCGACCTTCGTCTCGACGAGTAGACGCTCCCATTCGTCTGGGGCGCGCTGGGAAGATGTTGAGAGACCGCCGTAAGATCGTGCGAGGGCAGCGAGGCCTGCATCATATGCGGTAGCCAGAGCCGTCATAAACGGCGTACTCCGCGCAAACGTAAGACGCGCTTCAGCTGGCGCGACACGGGCGAAACTGAGTAGACAGTGTGCGGTCTTGCGTAGGCCATAGAGGCCTGCCGCAGAGGAACCGAGGAGTTGGGTGAATGCGGGTACGGCCTCGTTGGGAAGATCAATGTGCAAGTTGGGAGAAGCAGAGAATGCGACTTCGAGGAGTGACTTCAGACGCGATGGGTGAGGAGCATAAAGGATAGATAGATCGAGTAACGTCGAAAGCGGAAGAAGGCCGGACGATGCAACGCGTTCAGCGAGCTGGAGCACTCGCGATCGAACGAGCTTTGTTTCGCGAGAGTTGTACGAAGAAGATTCGCAGATCAAAGTCTGTAAGGTCTCCTGTGCGCCATCTCGGGCGTAAGATGTTATGAACGCGACAGTCTGGGACGTATCCCTCTTTTCAGGTGGTAACGCGAGCGTAGCCTCTAGTGCATTTGATACTTTGGCGTATAGCGTCGCTAGTTGAGATGGCGATAGACTTTCACGCGCACCGGCCGATGGAAATGAGGGTAGGGGTGCGACCGTGGGGATCGCCATCTTTCCTGATCGTGGTCAAGAGCAGGAGCGCTCACGCGCTCACGACGCGTCTGACTTGCACAGAACCGTCATCACGGTTTGCTACCCCATGGACTTCAGCTGAGGTCTTCTTCCTGCACAAAGACATCATATACTCTTCGCGCCCTGATCTATCCTGAAGTACCTTGCATAGCCATGGTTACCTGAACGAAAACGAGTTATATACGCGCGTCGAGCTTTGCCTTCATGCGCGAACGCCCGACTCATCTACGAAAATGTTCGGACAAGGGATGCATCGCCGGCTCATGATGCATCATCGAATTTCATACCACATGCGAGTGCAAGCGTTGAATGTGGGACTCGCGATCGGCCAGCCTACCCGCAAATGAATGCATACTCGTCAACGTCAACGTCCCATCCGGTTCGTCCGGCCGGTGCTGGCAGGCGACTGTTGAATACGAACATGGAGGAGCTGCATCTTGGGCTCTCTCTATCATCGCTCTCGTTCGTACCGCGTACCAATTGGCGCAGCTCAGATCTTGATATTCTGAACCAGAGCGCGTGGACGGATACAACGGCACTACAAGCCCCGACAGCGCATCACACGATACTCGAAGCCCGTTGACCATTATGCCCGCCGCCCAGATGTTACCCGCCGAGCCATTCCAAGCCTCGTCTACACCACTCGTGCAGGACGACCCGCAGTCTAAGGCGATGGTTATAGATGGCCTTCCACCTCTGCCGCCTCTTGACGAGACGTTTCCTGCGACCCTGGCAGGATGGCTCGAACGACGTCAAGAGGAAGACGAGCGATGCCGTGTGGAGAACGAGCGTCGTCTGGAGGAAGACAAAGAGCGCGAAGAGCAGCTTGAGCGGCAAGGTATCGAGTTCGAGCGACGACATGTCGAGTTGGAGCAACAACATATCGAGATGGAGCGGCGTCGCGTCGAGGATGAGCGGCGTCGCGTCGAGGATGAGCGACGACGCATCGAGGTCGAGCAACGCTTGCAATTCGAGCTCCGCCGAATGGAAGACGAACGACACCGCGGGGAACATCGACAACGCCAAGTAGAGGACATGCTCGTCAGCATGTGCCTCGACGCTTTGGTACAACAGGATGCGTATTTGCAGGAAGAGCTGAGGGCCTCACGTCTTGAGACGGAAGACGAGCGTAGAGCTCATGCAGCCACAACGGAGCAGCGTGACGTGTTGCTCAGAGAGTTCCTCGCTCTAGTTAGAGAGCGCGACGAGATCATAGAGGAGCGGGACCTGGCGCGCGACGAGCGGGATCGCGTCCGCGATGAGATCAGGCGTCTGCGTCAACATGAAGTTGCACCGTCCTCAAGTGTTGGACAGAACTCGACGTGAGAATGGCATAACCAGCTCTCTCTCTCTCTACCTCCACGCAGCTACATGCGCCTGTCTTCCCTCCTTCTTGTGCCTATCCCGCCGTAGTTCTACGTCACGTTCTTCAGCCCTCGTACTCCTTCGATAACATTCTCTGGCCTCGTATACTCACGGCACCTTCTATACTACTCGTGCCTTCCTCAGCCCCGGTTCAAGTTCTCATCCATCTCCCTTCGCCGCGCATCCATCTCCACCCCTCCATAATCTATCCATCCTTAACGAGTGTTCTCTTGTTCTCCTTTTTCTGTCGAGCTCGTTCTCCTCCGCCTTGCCGTGATTCCTTCCTTTTTCCCCTCCTCCCGTCTTCCCTCGGGTGAATATACAGGTCGGCTTGCAACGTTCATGAACCACGTTTGATATGCGCACACAGGAAACGAAATGGCGAAGGAGCATGGCGGTGCGTAGAGACAAGCAAGGACAAGCCATTCCACGTAAGATGACGAGACAACCTGCGCAGAGTGACATGGTCGGTCTTTGCTTTGCAGAGCGATGGACATATAATAGTGAACAGACTGCAACGGGCGAGCGCGTTTTGACGCTCATAGAGCGTGCATGTCACGCCGAGCATACAGTCGGCGTACGCGAGCGACGTCGACAAGCGCTGCGATAGAATCACCCACAGGGCGGGGCGATGAAGAAGCCGGGTGGCCCGACGGCGAGGTGGCGCGAGAGGCCTCGGTATGTGTACGAGAAGTACTTCGTGAAGTTGTGAAGGCACAGTATAACATCCAGTTCAAAGGGGATCAAATGGAGTACATAGGCACGCAACCGATTCATATACGGGAGTGTTCATACAAGGAGACAGAGTCCTTAAAGGAAGACTTCAGACAGAGAATATTGTCCGCATCGTCAGACCTCTCGATGACCGCGATGTTAAGGGCGCTCAGAGGAGGAGCACCGACGCCAGTGACGCGAAGTCCAGGCCGAGGATGAGGCCGACAACACCGCCGAGAAGGCCGACGAGAAGGCCGACAACGACAGTGAGCACACCGGCGACGAGCTGAAGCACTAGGGCGACGAGAGCGGCCAAGATCGGGCTGAGGTATGTATCAGTACGCTTCACGCGCACAGTAAGAGCGAACGTACTCAAGGAGCTGGAGGACACCAAGTACAGCGACGTCCGAAGAAACGCCGTTCACGTTGTTAGCGGCCGTCATGACACTCTGCAAAATGACATTGTCAGTATCTGTACCAGGGTAAGCGCACGACCCAAGAAGAGGATGCCCACGTTGATGGTGGTACCGACGAGCTGAAGGGGGTTACCGCTCCCAGTGCCCGAGGCGCTGCCGAGAGCATCGGTAGCCGACTGGATCATCGTAATCATCTGCTGCACGCTAGTGTTGACGTTGTCAGACGTGGCTGTGCTCGCCGTCATGCCGTCTGGTAGCCCGTCAATATAGGCATCACGAATCTAGAAGAATATGCTTACTGAGGGCGCTGAGGGGGTCCTTCAGGTCGTTGTTGAGGTTGGTCAGGATGGTCGTCACGTCCTGCGCCTGGCGGGTGACGAGCTCGCCGGCCTCGGGAGCGGTGGCGGGTATAGAAGAGGGAATAGCCGACGCGATGGTGCCAAAGGCGAGCGCGGCGAAGGTGGCGATCTTGGCGAAGGAGAACATGATGACTGGAGAGGAGAGGAGAGATGAAGGTCGGAGAGGACTACGGTGCGGTCGATGAAGCTCAGGTGAACCCTTGGCTGAGGATTGGAGGTCGTTGCAGAGTGGTTTATATACCTGCACTGCATGCAGTGTGCACTATATCATTGGCTTCCTCGACGTTAACGCAACCGCGCGCCTGGGATTCATGGTGCAGTGAGGCGGACTCGTTCAAACCGACTCACTGGGTGCATTAGAGTGACGCACGCAAAGTGCGTCTTAGCGTCCGATATCATCCCACTGTAATGCGTGCCATTGGTATTTTGGCCTCATAGTTGAGAAACTGCGACGCGTGTTGTGGAGCGTCGTAAATGGTGGTAGAACCCAGGTGACCGTGTCCGCGTAGCCAAAATCCTACGAATCCCTCGGTGCCTGGCGATGAGCGCACTAACCGAACCGTCAGCAGGACGGTAAGAAGTAAGAAGCTTGCAAGTTCATCGGAGAGTTACTTTCCCGTAAACGAGCACTTCTCAAGGACTCGCAAAGAACGTGGTGTTGCCCCTCGAACGCGTCCTCCCAGACTACTGAGGCGACATCCATCAGACGGCAGAGCATGGGCATAGGACCGTCGATGTGAGAATTGGGCTCCCTTGATGTCACGATGCATAATCGTCCGACTCGTAAATGAGAGCTTGAGAACCTAGGGGGTCATTTCCTACCGCTATGACGATAATGTACTGAAAAATCGGTAGATGGTGGATGCTGCACAGCACAGCTAACGAGGTCATGAAAGTTCAGAAGGCTTGTCGAGCGCGACAGATTTCTTCCTACATAAGCGGTTATCCTCTCGAGCCACATGAAGGTGGTGGTGAAGAAACAAGAAACCGCCCGGCGCCCGCGCGACCAAGCGGGGCGCTAAACGACGCGTATGGGCGCGTATGGGCGTAAACTGATGCGGCTCGAGCCGCGGCGCGGCGTCGGCCTCCAGCGTTCTCGAAACTTTCATTGCGACCACCATGCCCTCGCGGCCTCGCCTCGTTATGTAACACCGTAGAACAGGGCCTTCTCACAGACGAATCGAACTGCCTTGTCGCAGGCATGCCACATGTGACAGTACACCCGACCTTGAACTGGGCGCTTCGTATACAATTTTGTTACGATATCGCGCGGACGGCTCTCCATGCGTTGGGAACGAGTCTGGACGACACCTCCGTTGAATCACTTACAGAAGCGATCGAGTGGATTGCGCTTATACCTTCGGCATGGCGCTGGATTCGTATGGCACGAACGGTCGCCATTTTCATCTCCGTGATGTTGAAAACGAAGTTCACGCGCGTCGTGGGTTTCACGCACGCGCGACTGGATCTCGATCTGTATTTTCCTTGGTACTCCACAAACACCTGCTTCGTGGGCATGGTTGTGCGTGTTGCTGGTCTGATAGTGTTCATGCTCGAGGCTTCGTCAAGACGAAAGCCTGGAACTACTAGCTCCGGATCAAGACCAGCACCGCTTGGTAGCAGCCCTAGCATCTTGAAGCATCCAGTATCCGAGATGACAGGCATTACAGTGGGCCGGGGTGACCCGGAAGG